ATTAGGGAAAACATAAAAATATTCATGTATATGCCAGCTGATCATGGCTGCATTGGTCACATGGGTATAGAATATGTTACCGCCTGGAGGCTTAAAGTTAAGGAACCGAACCAGAGAGTATTCAAGTAGATTCACGGACCTCTTGTATTGCATATAAAAAGAAATGTTATTGTAATCTAAGTAAAATAACAGTGCAAACACATCATATATAATTTGTGATTTGTGACTGATTGCATTTTTTGACATAAAATAAATTATCACATAAAAAGCGGCGCAGGAGTGTAATAAAGCCATTTAATAAAAAAGGATATTACACTATTGTAATAATACTTTGACGTGACGTCATTTGCGCTACAATCTTTATTCTAACACTCCTCGTGATTTTGTCACTATAGACGAAGAAGAAGAAAACAGGTGTTTAACTGCCAAAAAACACCGGTTAGGGACTACATGTTTATGCCGCTGTTATGCTTTCTCTCTCGATTATATAGTTTACAAAGCCTTTTAAAGCAACATAAAAATCATTTTTTATATGCCCGAAAGAATTTTGGGCATATTATGTTATAACCCCTGGCGTCCGTCTGTCTGTCTGTCTATCCGCCCGTTACCAATTTGGTTTCCGGAGCATAACTTAAGTTCCATTTGGCCCACAATATTCAAACTTCATAGGATGATTGTCCATTTTGGGAAGAAAACCCCTATTGATTTTGGGGTCACAAGGTCAAAGATCGAGTCAGCTTTCCCTTAAATCTGAAAACAGTTTCCGGGGCATAACTTAATTTCCATTTCGCCCACAGTGTTCAAACTCCATAGGATGATTGTCCGTATTGGGTAAAACACCCCCCTATTTATTTCGGGGTCACAAGGTCAAAGGTCAAGGTCACTTTTCTTTAAAACTAAAAACATTTTCCAGAGCATAACTTAAGTTTCATTTGGCCCACAGTGTTCATCGTATGTTCAAACTTCATAGGATGATTGCCCATATTGGGTAAAAGACCCCTATTGTTTTTGGGGTCACATAGTCAAAGGTTAAGGTCACTATTACATTAAAACTGAAAACAGTTTCCGGAGCATAACTTAAGTTCCATTTGTTCTTTTTAGTTCTTATAATGCTTTCTTTTCATACAATATCGAAATAATATCTCACATACACTAACGTCACAGATTTGATTCATAGACACCGCTCAGACTGATATTATTTCTTTAGCATAAGCATTAAAGCGCAATTATGGTAGCCTTACACTATAGGCGAATCAATGAAAAATGACTCTATAACAGTTAAACATTCTTATTTTATATATGTGATAAATAGAATATTATATTCGTGTATATTCAATACAAAATTTTTTGAACTTCACTCAACTCGTACAATAAACTACACTCATTCAATATCCTCTATTTAATGTATAGTTGATATTTTTCTGTCAATCAATTATCGATACAGAAATGAAATAAAATCAAAACTTTGCCTATAATCATCAATGAAATGTTTAGAAATGCTAAAATTAGCAAAGAATATAAACATATAAATGAGCACGTCTAAAACTATACCAGCGGTAACCATCGTTACTTGATGGATTTTATTTATTTTGTTAATTTACATATTTTATATAACAAGAGCTGCCAGAGGACACAGCAGACTCTACTAAATAAATCCACTTGTAAAGGAAGACAAAACTTTGAAAAAAATAATTATGTCACAAATACATTTTTGTATAGGTATCAAGAAAGCATTTATACAGTGTATGTTCAATATATTTGCATCACATAATTTGCATGACACCATGTCAATAGAATGTTAAACATACATTTCTATGCTCTTACGAAAAAGGCAACAATCTGAGTCATTTTCCCTTCAGTAACAAAAGTGATAAGTCAGCAAGAAATGTTTCAAATAAATCTAAAGTTCAAAGAAGAAATTTCTCTTAAAATAAATATGCTGGAGTTATGAACCTTGTCATACATGTCAGAATAGAGACAAAGAACAATTATATCAAGTCTAAATTAGAAACCATTTATATAAAAAAAAGATAATTCTTAGAAATATTAATCAATAAGTAAATGGAGATAGGTCTGGATGATACTGAGGACAAATTAATGCTTTGATTACAAACATATTTTTAAATATGAATTAAATCCATGAATTTAATTCAATTGAGGTAAACAATTTTGACATTTAATGTGACCTTGACCTTTGGCTCATAAAACAATTGGCTTCATCTACAGGTCATAACTAATCTCCATACCCAGTTTGAAGTTCATAAAGCAAGGTGTTCTTACGTTATTGACTGGAAACAAATTTGCCTGACTGACTGACAGAAGAAACAAACCGACCGACCGACAAATGTGATGCAATTAATCACTTAGTGCAATATATCCCCACTTCTTCTAAGGGGGCATAACTATGTTAATTTACATAATTATACAGTTTATTAGACTGTCCATCATAAAGATATTTGAAATGTCTAACCAAGACAAGAGGAAGTTCTACAAATTGATCTATCATCACACAATGCTCCGTGTAAAATGTCATGGGAGATTCTGCACAACAAAGAATCGGAAATTTTGATCCATTAGGACACTAAAACGAGAAACAACACATATTGTATAAATTGTGAATGTACAGTCTTATCTTGTTCAACATTTTACATGTATATATGTGATAAGCTGATTTCTATGAAACAGAAGTTATTACAGGCGGCAGAATACTGACGTGTAGATTTAATTGTGACGTCATGACTAAAACTATTGCATGTTTGAATACATGTTTTATGTTTTCCGGTAAATGGGTATCAAAATACCCTTGTTATTAATATGAGGCGGACATATTTGAAACAATGAACAAAGGGCCACGATGGCCCTGAAATCGCTCACCTGTATAAAAAAACTCTCCATGACAATGAACAAGTTGATATTGTAAACTATAAACAAAAGCAGATACAAAATCTAAATCTTTAACTGATGTCGCAACGTTTATATTTGTATCTGAAATAGTGCATGTGTATAAACATTTGTTTTTGATATATACATAATTATAAAGAAAATCAATGACTCCAATTTTGACCCCAGGGCTTTTATTTGAACAGACTTGGTAAACACTCACTAAAAATGTTTCATGCTAAATATCTAAGATCGAGCGCTCTGGGGTTCTTTTTTTTTTTTTTTTTTAAAGATTTTTTTAAGTTTTAAATTATAATACACATTTAAGGAAAATCAATGACCCCCCGGGACAGGGCCATTTTAACCCCAGGGCTTTTATTTGAACAAACTTGGTAGACACTCACTAGTTGCATGCCAAATATCTAAGCTCTAGCTCTTTGGATTTTTTAAAATAAAGTTTTTTTTCTTTCGGTTGCCATGGCAACCAGAGTTCTGCATGGCAACCGAAAGAAAAACTTAAAAAATGTCTTATACCATCTAAAAAATTTTCTATTACCATCTCATGTCTTCAGGTTGGGGACATGATGGTGAATGGTGAACAAGCCTGAAAAGTTTCAAAGCCATATGTCAATGGACTTTGAAAATATTTGAGGTGGAATGCAAACTTTAACATATATTCTAAGTCGAAAAAGGGGCATAATTCTGTCAAAATGCTTGATAGAGTTACCTCCTCCTGTCTGCAGGTTAGGGTCATGATGGTGAATAAGTGTGCAAAGTAACAAAGCCATGTGTAAATGACCTTTGAAAATATTTGAGGTAGTACACAAATTTATGCGTAAATTCTGAGTCGAAAAAGGGACATAATTATATCAAAATGCTTGATAGAGCTACCTCCTCCTGTCTACAGGTTAGGGTCATGATGGTGAACAAGTTTGCAAAGTAACAAAGCTATATGTCAATGGACTCTGAAAATATTTGAAGTGGTACGCAATCTTAAGTATAAATTCTGAGTAAAAAAGAGACATAATTCTATCAAAATGCTTTATAGAATTACCTCCTTCTGTCTACATGTTTAGAGCATGATGGTGAAAAAGTGTACAAAGTAACAAAGCCATATGTCAATGGACTTTGAAAATATTTGAGGTGGTACGCAAACTTAAGCATAAATTCTAAGTAAAAAAGGGACATAATTCTGTCAAAATGCTTAAAAGAGTTACCTCCTCCTGTCTACATGTTTGGGGCATGATGGTGAATAAGTGTGCAAAGTAACAAAGCCATATGTCAATGGACTTTGAAAATATTTGAGGTGGTACTCAAACTTAAGCATAAATTCTAAGTAAAAAAGGGACATAATTCTGTCAAAATGCTTAATAGAGTTACCTCCTCCTGTCTACATGTTGGGGGCATGATGGTGAATAAGTGTGCAAAGTAACAAAGCCATATGTCAATGGACTTTGAAAATATTTGAGGTGGTACTCAAACTTAAGCATAAATTCTAAGTAAAAAGGGGATATTTTTCTGTCAAAATGCTTAATAGAGTTACCTCCTCCTGTCTACATGTGAAAATGGTGAAAAAGTCTACAAAGCAAAGTGACCCGGCCCAGTGTTTGGATAGTGTAAAAAAGTAATTCTAGAAGAAAAAAATATAGTTTATATATAATATATAGGGTCTATAAGGTCTATATATTACATATAAACTATATATTTTTTTCTAAAATTACTTTTTTACACTATCCCAACACTGTGCCGGGTCCCTATGATACAAAGTAACAAAGCCATATGTCAATGGATTTTGAAAATATTTGAGATGGTAGTTATTTAACTGTTCATATATTCATGTGTCTTTATTGACTAAGTTAATTTGAAATTTATTTTAACTATTGAATAAAAAAAATGGAATTTTTTTTATTAATAAAAAGGTTTTTTATTTAATTAAAAGAAAATCTTATAATTCAATTAGAATAATCTATTTCAATACTTAGGTGTGTAAAATGAAATAATATAAAAAATAAAAAATTCAATATAAAATCTCTTACCTGTAAAATATTTCCAAATCCTAATTCCAAGTTATCCATTAAGTTCCGGTAAAAAAACTTCCTTGAATTATTTCTCCTCTTAAAATGTTTTTATTTATTTATTTATAAACAACTGTCACTTAATTAAACTTTAAACTGAAATAAATGTTTGTAAATTAAATGACCAAACTATACAGTACATGTATAACATAGAAGAAACCGCCATTTTGTTTTTTAAGTGTCCATTTTTAAATTGTTTTCATTTAAAATTATTGAAGTCATTTCATTAGTTTATTTTACAATGTTTTTCCTTTGTTTATTCTTTACTTGGTTTTATTGTTTTGAACTCAATCTCCCGCCAGTCGTCTTTTATCACATCAAAAGTTTGTTGTGAACTCCGAATATTTTCTCTAACACGGTCATATTCTATGTATGGTAAAATGGCCCCCATCTTTACTGTAACTGACTGTGGCAGATTTTCCAGCACGGTAAAAAAGTTCTGTAAACTTTCTGCAGACATTTCTATCCTCTCCAACACCACACGTTTAATATTCAACATGTCACGTGACAGTAACAATGAACTTTCATCATCTAGATTGATGTCGTACAACCTAACATAAACTAATGACGGAGTTGATATATTTAATTGTAGCCTCCAAGGTAAACGCCGCAAGTATAACTTTGATAGAGCTGAATGTTGAGACAAGTCCAAGTTCCATCTCTTACAATAATGTCTGCGGTAGCCAGGTTTTTTACAGACTAACGACTTCAATGTTAAGTCTTTCATTGATTTTTGACCGGAGATAAAACTGAAAAATGGTTCCAGTAGTTTGTGAGGTAACGTGAACCTTTCAATAAATAAATATTGTAAGTTTTGACATCGCGCCATGTTTTCACTCAGATTTTCTCCATCATTTGTCCATCTACCATTCCACAAAGATAAGTTCTGTAAACTGGGAAACAATATCCGGGTTATCTCAGCCTTCTTCCTCAAACTGGTGTCACCATAATAGTAAAGTTTCTGTATATGACTGAGATCTGTGAGAGAGAATAAATCTATAATTTCACGTAAACTGCTGGAAGTATGGTCGGTGTTTATATTAAGTGATTTTATGTTTGTTTTATTTTGCTTTAAAAAACGTTGTAACTGCTCACTGTGCTCGGTGTGCCCGTCAATGAAGAAATCTTGTAAACATAATTGAATATTTTCACTTTCAGGCATTTCTTTTAAACACGACATGAACATTTCCTGTATGTTATACCATTGAGTATTGTACATGGTGTACTCGACACATGTCCTAGTTCTATAGCGGCGTGTTTCCTCGTCTTCATTTATCACAGACATCATATCATTTGATATTGCACACATCCAGTCAGCATTCATGCCGCTGATAAATTCACAAATTTTTGACTTGTCCAGAATATCTGAAACAGTTTTACATTTTTCTAGAACACTGTGAGAACTAATAAATATGGTAGCAAAGAACTCTTGCACTGTTTTGTGAGAAAAAGATACTTTGATAATTTCTTCGATTAAATTTTTACTTCTACTCTCTGTCAGTATTCCTGAGAGAAGACTTAATTTCATGTCGTCTGCTTTGAGGTATATATCAGCAACCGTTCTATCAAATACCAGCGTATTTTCTCTTGTTTCCTTACATATTGTTTGGTAAGCTAGTTCTGCTAATGATGTTATAAGACTGTAAAACTTTTTACAAAATTCATGACTTTTGAAGTTTTCTGGAATTTCATTGGCAGACGATTCACGAGATGGTTGAACTTCCGGGTGTTTCTTTGACGTTCTCGATAATAGAAATTCAATGACATTGGTGTAAATTTCATGTTTTGAATTTCCTATAGGTTTGTTGTTGCACCATAGGCAAACTATATACATGAGGAGGAGTGGTATCCTTTGCATATGCTCTAGGCGACGGTCAGATATCACTTTATTAAAGTCCCATGTTTTACTCTTCAGTACTCTATTGTCACGGACACCGGTCATTTTTCTTATAGCATTTTCTTCAAGTTGCCGCGTAGAATCTGCACTTAATTGAACCAATTCTACTTTTTTGTTTATTTGACTTGTTTTGAGATTTGAAACTCCAAGCTTCCACGGTCGAGTTGTCGTTAGGATAACACAATTATCACGTACGTACCGATGTGGGATTTTTTTGCTACAGCTAATATCAGGGTGAGTCCATTCATCAAGACCGTCCAATATAATCAAGCATTTTTCTCTACGTAACACTTCATCTAGTATTGCAGAAGTAGGAAGTTTCGTCGTAATTTGCTGTTCAATCATATCGTCAATTTTACAAACAGAGGGACTGTCTCTTAAGAAAATCAAAAATAAGAACTCAAAGTCTAATAACGTTTTTAACTCCTCCCTTTTAAAGCAGGCGTTGTTTTCATCGTGACAATGAGCTTGACACCACGTGACTGCAAGATATTTTGAGAAAGCAGTTTTTCCAAAGCCTGCATCAGCTGATAAATACATTTCTTGTTGATCTCGACTTCCAAATGAAAACAGGTTCCTCAAAGACTTGACGGGTATTCTCTCCTCTTCATTGGAATTTAGGGACTTCTGTTTTACGGCGACTATATCTGGCATCACGTAGAACCCAGCTAAAGGCGTCTCTACTTCTTCAAGAAGCGGTGAGAGAGGTATTGAACTACATCTTTGTCTATAGAATTTTATCAGGTCACCTTGAAGTTCTGAAAAGAGAGTAGAAAAATAATTTTCAGTGACGCATCTTTCAAGTACAGAGAAAATTCAGGTGCTGACTAACTTCAATGTTGCATATTTAGGATACGACTTAGTACATGATACCTAAGAAATAAATATGTAAATTGATATAACATTTATATCTGTCACAGTTATATTTAGTTGAATGTGCATGTATGATGCTTCTATTAGTGTGGTAACCATACAACAAACGGTTAGTTAAGAGTCGTTGGTTTCAAGTAACACAATATATTAACAGTATACATGTATAATACATTGTACATTGTATGTATGTTTGCTACTTAACATTTTCTGTCTCTGTTTATTTAATCAAAACAGAAGAAATTAAATTAAACGTGATCTTAAAAAACAACAACAAAAAAACAAAACAAGAGCCGGTTGAACCGGGTGATGCTCCCCGAATAGGTTTTGGACACAGGAAGGTATACCTCTTGTAGTGTCAGAGTTATGTCACAGACAAAGTTCAAAGTGTAAAAACAACCAAAATGTTGTGCACGACACATTGTCTCAATATGGTGATCATTTCTGTGAAATAGTTTTAAAATCCAACTTCAAATAACGAAGTTATTGGCCGGACACGATTTTGCTGCAAGGTCATGCTGTGACCTTGACCTTCAAGGTAGCGACCCAAATGTTGCGCGCGACACGTCGTCTCAAAATGGTGCTCATTTCTGTGAAATAGTTTTAAAATCCAACTTCAAATAATGAAATTATGTACTGAACACGATTTTGCTGCAAGGTCATGCTGTGACCTTGACCTTCAAGGATAGTGATTCAAATGTTGCGCACGGACACGTCGTGCTCAATATGGGGTGATCATTTCTGTGAAATAGTTTTTAAAATCCGACTCCAAATATCAAAATTTATGGCCGGACACGATTTTGCTGCTAAGGTCATGCTGTGACCTTGACCTTCAAGGTAGTGATTCAAATGTTGCGCACGACACGTCGTCTCAATAGTGGTGATCATTTTCTGTGAAATAGTTTTAAAATCCGACTCCAAATATCAAAGTTATGGGCCGGACACGATTTTGCTGCAAGGTCATGCTGTGACCTTGACCTTCAAGGGTAGCGACCCCAAATGTTGCGCGCGACACGTCGTCTCAATATGGTGATTGTCTCTGTGAAACAGTTTTAAAATCCAACTTCAAATAACGAAGTTATGGGCCGGACCACGATTTTTTCTTCAAGTCATGCTGTGACATTGACCCTTCAAGGGGCACCCAAATGTTGCGCCGAATTGTTCAATATGGGGATATTTCTGTAAAATAGTTTAAAAATTAAATAAAGAATACATTAACGATTCTGCAAGGGCATGCGTGACCTTGACCCTCAAGGGGAGGCCCAAAAAATTTTAAGCGACACCCTAATATGGGGCTATTTCTGTTAAAAAGTTTTAAAATCGACTTCAAAAAAAAAGTTTGGGCCGGCCCCCAAATTTTGGGCCCCACTACGGACGGACGGGCCGGGGATACGGACGGGCAACCCACTATATGCCCCCCCGCATTTTGGGGGAAAAAAAAAAACAACAATAAGTTAAATTGTAGAAAATAAAAATTTTTACGCACCCCCCATTTTTGGGGGAAATTTTGAAAATTTGATTTTCCCAAAAAAACGGGGGTTTTTTTTTCTTTGGAAAAAACGCCGCGCTTTTAATTGAGATACAGTTTTGGGGCTATCATGTTAAAGTTTTAGCAGGGTGATCTACTTTGTCGACGGTGTTAGTCAGACTGGAAATTTGGACCAAATATAAACATGTCATAGTAACTAGTTTATAAAATGCAAGTGAAAAAAACAAAGAATTTACAATACTAGCATGTTTGTTCGCAGGCCATATCAGGTATGTCGATCACATTTTTGATTTTTTCAAGAAATAATAAGAAGTTCTGGAAAATACATGTATATGTAGAAAGAAGTATATGAAGAAATATGACAGTATAAGAAATACGCTACAGCCTCCTGGAAATAAAAGATTTTAAGACTATTGTAGTAAAGAGGTAGTTGCTCAACAGATGGACACTCTGTAGAGATATCACTGTATATATCTACTCATTAGTTATATATCAAAACGATATGTTCTTGCAAACTTTTTCCCCCACTTTTTGGAAGCGACGATGTAAACAAAGGAGGGAGGCGAGTGTGCGGGCGAGCTAATAGAGTCATTCTTCCTTCTATATATAATATAGATTTGTAATTTTGCTTTGTATTTCTCTCCTATTATTTGTATTTAATTGCATTAACAAGACTGTGAACGATAATACATTTATAACAATTGTTATCAAGGAGAGAAAATAAAATAACAAGGGTAAATAAATGCTCAATACATGAACTAATTCCTACTGATTTCTCCAAAAAAAAAAAAAAGAAAAAATGATAAAAAGGATCATGAATAGTTTGCTATATTTTGAAACATCGCGGTGATGCTGTTACTATCGTTTGTGGTGTTATTACAACCAAATTAATATACCTTCACCGCTTTAATAATGTTTACTGTTACGAGCCAGGCGTGACGAGAAAGAAAAGCCAGCAACAAACTTGTAACAATAAAAAATTTATTACAGAAAAATTATTAAAGAAAAATTAAAGAACAATTTATGTTTACAAATACCTGAAGTCCAAATAAAAATATAAATCTCAAATGTCTTGTCTGATCCTGGAATGATCTTTTTTTTGAATAGCACAGTTAAATCCAAGTTAAATCCAAGATCACTTTAGAATAAATTCCCACAATAAAATCCACAAGAATAATTTAATCTATTTTAAAATCCAAGCTCCAATAAATTACTTAATATCCAAGTTGAATGATACTCCAAATGTATTGATGACTTAAAATGTAACTGATGACTTAAAAGGTAAAAGTAATGAAAAATGTCCCCTTATATATAAGCTAAGAACATTCAGAACAGTCCATGTTCTACCGTAATCATATTCTAGCACCTTCAACAATAAAGAATAATCTGGAAATTTCTAACTAAATATAATGCATAAATCATAATCTAGAATTTTCTACAACAGTTAAGAAATTTCTTGTTAAATCTTATGTACACATATGTAGTTATACGTTCTAAAAATAGAACAATAATAATATTGGAAATACCAACTTGTCAGATATAAACTATATACATGTACATGTAATATGTTGCATACACAACACTTCCCATCTTCAAGTAAAAGAAATATGAATGAAATGAATATTTCTTTTACATAAATCCGACAATGCAACTTATGAAAAACTTAGGAGAAATGTTAAACAATTAAATCATATATATGTTTATTATGAACAATAGCAAACAACAAAGTAAAATTAAACAATCATATGATAGTAAATTGCTTAAAAGGGAAAAGTTACTGAAATATTCAGTTTTAGACACGAGAAAGTGCATTCAGGATCAAATTATCTTTCCCCCCTTTTAATGTTGTCTAATTCAAGATTATATTTCTTGCAAAAACAAACTCCACCTCAAAATGGGAACCTTTTTTATTTTTTTTTTCCCAAATTTTTAATGCAAGAAAGTGAAAGGTGAGCCCTTTCTATTGGTTTAACTTTACCCTTGTCCCCTATTATTTCCTAAAAAATGTTTAAAATTGCAAATGGGACAAAATTCACTTTTTTGCAAGATTAACTGTCAATTTAGCAAATTTAGCAAATTTGTTTTTACAGGGTTTTTTCTTATATGGATGTGTTTTATTGGGGTTCAGAAGTTTTCAAGGATGGACGTCATTGATGTTATTTTATTTCCGTCCGTGTGGGAAATATCGGAAATAAGTGTTCATATTCATTAAAATCAAGCTGTTTCAGTTCATCTCGTTTTCGACGGTTCTAAGTGAGCAAGTTTTTCATCCAGATTTTTCGAATATCAGAGTTTTCAAGCTTTGCTGAACCAGGATCAGACTTTTCAAAACTTTCATTAACTATTAGATTCAACTGAACATTGATTTTGTTGAACAGAGTTTACAATAGATATAGGTTTACTAATTGTGCTATCTCTGTCATAATATTCTTTTAACATATTTATGTGACACATTTGTTTTTGCTTTCGCCTCCTAGGAGTATTAATAATATAATTTAGGTCACTGACTTTCTTTTCAATAGTATAAGGACCAAAGTATCTTGCCTGTAATGGTTTTACAGGTATAGGTAAAAGAGCAAGTACTCTATCACCAGGGTTAAAACTTCTTTCCTGAGCATTCTCATCATACCTTGATTTCATTTTACTTTGTGTTGATTTTTAATTAAGCCTAGCTAACTCACATGCATTAGTCAACCTATTTCGAAAATCTGATACATACTGAAGCAAATTTAAAGATGTGTCATCTTCAGACAGGAATTTCTCTTTAAGAAGTTTTAAGGGTCCTCGGACAGTGTGACCAAATACTAATTCAAAAAGGCTGAAGCCAAGAGATTCCTGAACAGATTCTCTTACAGCAAATAACAATAAATGGATGCCTTCATCGCATTCTTTTTCAGTGTCAAAACAATATGACCTTATCATTTTTTTCAGAGTCTGGTGAAATCTTTCTAATGCACCTTGACTTTCAGAGTGATAGGCTGAAGACATGTATTGAGTAATTTCTAACTCGTGCATGACCTGCTGGAAAATACCAGACATAAAGTTTGACCCTTGATCAGACTGAACTGATTAAGGTAAACCAACAAATGTGAAAAATTTCGCAAGAGCCTTCCGCCCATTGTTTTCTCGTTTCGGGCACACGCTTTTTATTACATGGGGACCATACGCCGCTTTTCATGGAATGGCACGGAAGTGTCACATTGAAGGTTCCATGATAACCGCCGTATGAACACATCTGCGGATGTTTCTAAATTCAAAATTTTACTGTTTCATGTTTAAATGTTGAATTCTGCTTAAGCCGGTGCTAGGGGGCGTGGACGGTAACTTGCACTTTCCAGTACCGTCCATGAACAGACTCAATCAAACCGAGCCTGCAACATTTTCAATTTTGCCGTGTTG